ACTTGGTAGGATCCTATATATGCACATGTAAAAATAATTATATTCGATGTGTTAATAGTATATAAAGTTATACACCAATAAAAGTATAACATTGTAGTTTGTCTTGGTCAAGATGTTATCTACAACTGGAAATTATAAAATAATTTTATATAAAATAAAAACTATATTTATAATTATACTTTTAAGAAAATAAATATTTGGTATTAAATTGCTCAAGGGCATACTTTTTTAACATTTCTAAATATGATATCTATTGTCGGTTTAATATTTGGATAAATTCATATATAATTATAAATAAAATTTCTCAAATTTAAGTTATCTATACTTAATAGGATTTTCTCTCTGTATACAGGAATTTCATTGGACCCCAGATGATATATTAAAAGAATCTTTTAGGTCTTCTAATGTCAATAGGTGGCATAATTTTTCTAATAAAAATTAATTTATTATTATAATTCCGTGGAAAGTAAATACTAAGAAAAGCATGGCATGATAGTTAGTCTTATCATCTATAAACAGAATCTTTTCCACGGATTTCACAATTGACAATTCTAAAATAATTTAATGCGAAATTATATATATATATAAATACATTAAAAAATAAAAAATAAAAAATAAAACAGTATTAAATTATTAGCATAAGAGATATATTTTTTCATGTATTTAATTTAAATCGTTAAAATTATCTATCCATAAAAAATTATCAATATTATTCTGATTCTGAAATCATATTACTATTTCACTTTGACTAATGAAAAATAATATTGATTGTCATAATATTAATATATCAGTTAACAGTTTTGAAATAGTATTTAACAATATAAATATGATTATTTATATGTAAATGATGATGTGATAAAGAAATTTAATCAATTTCTTAATCTGGTTAGTCTCATTTATAGCTGTTTTTTTATAAAGGGTTAAATGTAAATTAATGATCGATTTTGTCGTTTTCTTCGAATTGTATATTCATATAGTTTATTTTTGCATATAAACTATAAATGGATTTTTCCTTGTCGTTGATTTAGAGTTATCTTATCATGTTAAATAGAAGTTTGAGAATCCCATTTCCTTTAGATTAAGAGTTTTCAAAATCATTCGCAAAGATGGATCAAAGGGGAGATGGATAGAAGGGGAATGAGTGAAAGTAATTGTCTACCTTAAAAAGATTAAATTAGCATATATTTTAGATATTTTATTTATATATTTTATTGATAATTTATTTTTGTCCTCCCTAAAATTTTATATGTTCACATTCTCCTAAAATTTTAGAAGTTCGTCTCCTAACATAAAATCATGTACTCGTCCATAATCATGTGAGCATTTGTTTTTTTTTTCAAAACAGAAACAAAATGTACCGTTAAATGTAGTTTTTTAAAAAAAGAAATAGTTAGATGGTCAAAACAAAATTACATGAATATGTAGAGTACTAAATAAGAATTTACCCTAATTGTTGTTAGTTTTTTAAATTTGTATAAGTTACAAATATGTCAAACATTTCAATGACTATCAATGATTAGTGAATAATTTATGCTAAAGTAAAAATAATATTTGAATCCAGTGGTGGATTACTTTTATCTTAGAGTGAATATGAGTTTATCTTAAAATTTGATTTTTTATTAATCATCTATTTTATTGATTATACTCACCTTAAAATTTTATTTGTGTCAATCTTATGTAAAAATTCATAATATTAATATATATATTAATTTTAAAAAAAATATTTATAAATTTATTACCGTTAAAATATATTCTTCCGTACCTCTAAACCATGAACTTTTAACCTAATATTATCCAAAAAGGACTATGAATGACGACAATGGATGACGTGAATAGTTTTATTTAATAACATTAATGAAAGATACATTAGTCATATGTATAGCTGCCATTTGTACTTTTCCTGCCTTAATCTTTTCAACCATCTTTATTCTTTTTTTTTTCTATTTAAATAAAAAGAGATTCCAATGTAAAAGATATACACATGTGATTCAAATTTCTTCATATTTTTCTTATTAATTAATTCGCTATAAAATGTTAGGAAATTGTCTTGGAAACTGATTTATACCTAATTTATTAAAATAAATATATGGTTAGATGTTGTTTTCTAAAGTAATGGGTAAATTGAACTGATCATTAAAGTTTTGGTATTTTTATTTTAGTCATTAAAGTTTCAAAATTTATATTTTGATCACTAATATTGTCGATAAATTATAAAATAGTCACTTTTCTGTTGAATCTCATTAGATTTATGATATTACACGTTAATAAATAAAGTAATATCCAATTTGATTATTAAATAATAACTAAACATTAATTTAATCATTAACAATTTTTTTTTAAATTTTCATCTTCATCAACTAATTTATCATCAATGTCACCAACTCTCATAACTCAACCACCATACCATACTATTGGAGTAAAAATTCATCAATTTTTTAATTGCAAATTAATATGAATCTTCAAAGGAAAACATTTTCCCTCATACCAAAATTAATATGAACCTTCAAATTTTAACTATATTTTAGGATTCAAATTGAAGGTTAACTCATTTTATTAATGTGTCGTAATAAAAGTTGTCATTTTTTGTTTTATCAATAACTATAATGATCAAAATATAATTTATGAAACTGTACAGATCAAAAATAAAATTTCACTGAAACTTTAGCAGCCACAAATGTAGTTTACCTAAAATAATTTATAATAGAATCTTTTATTGGAGTTGCCCGAGGAAAGATTCCTTTTTAAAAGTCATCAGTCAAGCAGAGGCTGCACATAAATAAGTAGGTCAGATATGGTGGCGCATATTGGGTTGAGCTTGGCATGTCAGTTTAATTAGACTTTAAAATAATTGTATAACACATAATTACCTAAGTATTCTTTAATTAATATTATATGTCAATTTCTTTAAAATTTAGATGAAAAAAATTAATATTTTAAGTATTTATTTTGATTAAAAATATTTTAAATACTTATTTTGACTAAAAGATAATTTTAGATATTTATTTTAAAAAAATATTTTAAATATTTAGATGAAAATATATACTTTAAGTACTTATTTATAATATAAAAGGATTTTAAAACACAGATTTATCAGGGGTGAGACGTTTCATCGTGCGATTTTTATATATTAAAAATTAAATTAGTTTTATTACCAAAATTCAGTTGAATACTTTAAACAAAATTTAATATAAAGTTGAATCTTTTTAAGATTCATTCGTAAAATAAAAATATTATTATTTAAAATAAATTAATTAAATATGTACATATAATTTATTACTCGGAGAAGTTTAATCCGTTAATTTTACATTAATTTAAAGTTAAAAAGTTATATCAATTCTTAAAAAAATAGGTGTTTAAATTATTTTTTGGTTCTAGATGTTTATTCTTTTTTATAAATAAATGTCTTATGTTTTATTATGCGATTATTTTTAAGTCGACTTATTAAGTTCGTTAAAAAATATTATATGCTATTGTTAAATACTTTAGTTTTGTAATTTATTTTTTATTTTAAGATTTTTTATATAGAAATAAATAAAATTAAAATAATTTTTGAAAGTTAGAGATTTAAATTTATTTTTTGAATAAATGATTTTTTTAATCTAAAGTGTTTGTGACTTGAGTATTTTTTAATTTCTCAAAATGCTTTCTTTTCTGTTTGGTTATGGGTAAATTTCGGAGAAAAAAGAAATAAAAAATTAAAAAAAGAATCTTGAAGAAGAAAGAAAGATTAAAAGTCACGTGTCAATCATTAAGTAACAGATTTTTCAACATAGGTAAATAGATCAACCTTAAAATAATTACAAAATGAAACAATAAACACCTATTTTGATAAAAAAAAATTAACTCTTAAAATAAAAATGTAATATAAACATTTATTTTATAATTAAAAAAATAAAATACATGCAATTATTTCAATTACTAACAAATCTTATCATTAATTAAAATATAAAAAGAGTATAAATGATTTGATATAAAATTTTAAAGAAGAAAAGAGTATTTAATGATTTAATATAAAAAGAGTATAACATAATTCCTTTATCATTTGTTATTTTTCTATATTTGTATCACTACTTATATTTAGAGTTTGAATTACTCTTTTTAACTACCTAAAACACTCTAAATTTATGTCACATGTCCAATTTTGTATTTCTTCACACGATTAGGGTGAATAAAACTCGACTTAATTTAAAAAATAAATTTTTTTAATTCAACTCAAATTGACTTAGAGTAGTAGTTTCATAAACTTGACTTGAAAAAATTTAAAGTTCAAATTGAGTTGTAAAATACTCTTTTTAACTACCTAAAACATTGTAAGTTTATGTCACCTGTCCAATTTTGTAATTCTTCACCACGATTAGGGTGAATAAAACTCGGCTCAATTTAAAAATCGATTTTTTCAACTCAACTCAAATTGACTTCGAGTAGTAGTTTTATAAACTTGACTTGAAAAAAATTTAAAGTTCAAATCGAGTTGTAAAATACAAATCGAATAACTCGAATAGTAACGAATAACTCGAAATTTTTTGTAATTTGTGGATTCATTTTCAAGTTTGAGTCAAGTCATTCGACTTTCTATGATATATGTATATCACATATGAAAAAAATATGTATTGTATATGCTTATAATAATAATTTAAATTGGAATCAAATATCATAATATTAGAAATATTTATAACTAAATTTAAACAAAAACTCAAAAATTCGACTCGACTCGACATGAAAAAATTTCATATCAACTTCGAGTTATAAAATAGAACTCATCAAATTAAATAACTCGAATTTTTTAACCCGACTCGATCTAACGATGAAGCCCACATGTGACCACTCCCACAAGTAGAAATCAATTAGGAATGTCATTACAATGTCGACATTATTTAAATCCTTTGGATTTGACATTAGAATGTTTGCCGAAACTTACCATATTTTCAAAGATTCTGGCCCCGAATGAACCCTATAAAATAGCTTGAAGAGGCCACCGAATTTCACGACCCAAAGTTGAAAAAACAAAGATTTGTGTTTAGGGTTTGAACTACGAGAGAAGGAAGAGATGCACAGAGACTATATTCATATTTTTGGCTTTAATGAAAGTGCTGTCGGAGCTATCCGATAATGTGTAAAACGCTGAACCTTCGTCTCATTCCCTCGTCAGCACCCTAGCAAAGCGCCACATGCTTTCTTCATACACATTCAAACAGCTTTTCCTCATAATCTTTTTGCAACTTTTGGCTTCCTTTTAAACTCACACCGCCACAGTTGTCTTTTTGTCATGAACGTGAGTGTGACCGATATCTTGTTATTTGAGTTGGGATTTTGATCTTTTTTTTTTCTTTTGCAAAGAGCCATTGTTGTTTTGCAGGCATACCCTTTCTAAATGTCTGGTTTTTGATTGGAGGGAGGGGATAATAGGATTCTAATCCAGCTTTCATGGAGGTGTTTTTAGAACTTGTGAACGTACCATTTGTTTTGGCTTTACTAACATGGATTGCCATACATATTTTGAGATTTCGTAATGGTGGTCGTAGTCATAGTGATGTTATCCCAGATTTTAAACACAGAGTAGGGATAAAAGCAAGGGTTTTTGGGGTTATAATTGTGCTATCTAATGTTATCATCTTTATTTTGAACTTGGGTTTTGGTTTTTATGTTTATTGGAATCGTGGTTTTGTGTCTACAAAACATGTATGTTCATCCATCACTTGGTTTCTAGCAAGTTCAGTTTCGTTATGTTCAAAGAACAGAACTTTCATGGAGCAAAAAGGGTGGCCTTTAGTTTTGGTACTTTGGTGGGCGTTTTCCGGCATCCTTGTGACGTTTTCGGTATCGGTTTACATTATGCATCGCTTCAAATCCATGGAACTGCCTCATCATTTTCCGGAAGCCGACATTGTTGATGTTGCTTCTTTGCCTTTGTTGATGATGTTGCTTTTCTGCTGCCTACTATCTTTTGCTGTTGGTGAAAACGGTGATCTTCGACGTCGGTTGCTCGATAAAGAGGATGAAATTTCCTTGAAAGATACTGCTGCTGCTACTTTTGTTACTGCTAGCATATGGAGTCAACTCACTTTTCGATGGCTAAACCCCCTTTTCGAGAGGGGTCGGATTGAAAAACTTGAGCTGCACCATATTCCTTCGGTTCCGGAATCGGAAACCGCGGATAACGCATCGTCGTCGCTCGAAGATTCGCTTCGAAAACATAAAGCAGAATCTTATATATTGCCAAAAGCAGTAGCTCGTACCATATGGAAATCCCTGGTTGTGAATGCAGTTTTTGCAGGTATTTTTCTTCTCAATTCGTCGAATTTGTTTTCGGATTCTGTATGCAGCGTCTTTATAATGCTTATGTTTTTTACATTTTGTAGGACTCAACACAGTTGCCTCCTATATTGGACCTTTCCTTATCACTAGCTTTGTGAATTTCTTAACTGAGAAATATGATGGTTCAAGCTACCAGTATGGGCTGTTTCTTGCATTTATCTTCTTCTTTTCGAAGACTGCAGAATCGCTAACACAACGGCTGTGGTACTTCGGTGCTCATAGAATTGGAATAAGGGTTCGTGCGGCTCTAACGGTATTGATTTACAAAAAATCGATTTCAACTAAGTTTGTTGGTCCCAGCAATGGTAAAATCATAAACCTCATCAATGTGGATGCTGAGAGAATAGGAGACTTTTGCTGGTACATTCATGGAGTGTGGCTGCTACCGATCCAAGTCTTTCTGGCCTTGGTTATACTATATAGGAATATGGGTGCGGCTCCGGCCTTTGCAGCCGTCTTTGCTACGATTTTGGTGATGGTGAGTAACACTCCGTTAGCCGGTAGGCAAGAGAGGCTTCACTCCAAGATCATGGAAGCCAAGGATTCGAGAACGAAAGCAACTTCGGAGACTCTAAAAAGCATGAGAGTCCTGAAATTACACTCATGGGAACCCACTTTTTTGAAGAAGCTTCTTCAACTTAGAGAAACAGAGAGAAGTTGGCTTAAGAAGTATCTATATACATGCTCAGCTATTGCCTTCTTATTTTGGGCTTCACCGACTTTAGTGTCCGTCGTCACATTTGGTGTCTGTGTTCTGGTAAAAGCACCATTAACATCCGGGACCGTACTTTCAGCCATAGCAACTTTTAGGATCCTACAAGAACCTATATACAACCTTCCAGAACTCATTTCCATGATTGCTCAGACAAAAGTCTCATTTGATCGAATACAAGAGTTCCTTGGAGAAGAAGAACAAAGGAAGGTCATATCTACACATAGTGCAAGAGCATCTAATGTTGCTATCGAAATCGAGACAGGAGAATATGCTTGGGAAACAGGTGGCCAAGAGATAAAGAAACCAACCATCAAAATCACCAACATGTTGAACATAATTGAAGGTAACAAGATAGCTGTATGTGGCTCTGTTGGCTCCGGTAAATCAAGCTTACTTTGCAGCATACTAGGTGAGATCCCAAGGATTTCGGGTGCACCCATTAAGGTTGATGGGAAAAAGGCTTATGTTCCTCAGAGGTCTTGGATTCAAACAGGCAGTATCAGAGAGAATATACTATTTGGGAAGGACTTGAAGAAAACTTTCTATGAAGATGTTCTCGAAGCATGTGCGTTGAACCAAGATATCGAGACGTGGGATGATAGAGATATGAGCGTCGTGGGAGAGAGAGGGATCAATTTGAGTGGAGGCCAGAAGCAGAGGGTTCAATTAGCAAGGGCTGTTTACAGTGATTCTGATATTTATATCCTAGATGATCCTTTTAGTGCAGTTGATGCTCATACAGGAACACATTTGTTCAAGGTTAAAAAATGAAACTCTTTTTCGGTTTCCATTCGTTACTCTAGTTGCATTCTCATGTGTTCATATTCTAAGATGAAGTTGCTTCATATATGATCATTCTTTTGCAGAAATGTCTCAAAGGATTGCTGTCTCATAAGACTGTCATTTATGCTACACACCAACTGGAATTTTTAGATGCTGCAGACATTGTTCTGGTAAAAAATCTTGTAATAGCATACATAAAATACTATGAGCTTCCAGTTGTAGTCTCTCATTCTGCCCTCTATGCTTCTTCTTGTAGGTGATGAAAGATGGCCTCATTGTTCAGTCTGGAAAATATGAGGAGTTGATAGCTGATTCTGATGGTGAACTTGTGAGGCAGATGAATGCTCACAGGAAATCACTAGATCAAGTGAACCAACCCCGAGAAGACGTTGCCGGGCAGTTCCAAATAACTCGAACCGAAGTCATAGAAGAAAAACATGAAGAACCCAATTGCTATGACAAGCTTCTTGAAAGGAGTCAAGAAGAAGAAACCGAAACCGGTCGGGTCAAATGGAGTGTTTACTCAACCTTTGTTACTGCTGCTTATAAGGGAGCTCTTGTGCCAGTCATCCTTCTTTGTCAAGTTCTCTTCCAGGGGCTGCAGATGGGAAGCAATTACTGGATTGCTTGGGCAACTGATGACATTCACATTGTATCAAGACAACAGTTAATAGGCATATTTGTTTTGCTGTCTGGTGGAAGCTCCATTTTTATACTAGGAAGGGCAGTTTTGCTGGCAACTATCGCCGTTGAGACCGCTCAACGTCTTTTCCTTGGAATGATAACATCTGTTTTCCGGGCACCGATTTCATTCTTTGACTCCACTCCATCTAGTCGAATCCTCAGCAGGGTTAGTCTACAAAGTTCAACTGCTTTAGGAATCCATAATATTGCCTAATTCTTTTTGGAAATCGAACTTGTCTACTTTTTCTTGTTGTTACAGTCTTCTACGGATCAAAGCACATTAGACACAGACATTCCTTACAGGGTAGCCGGGCTGGCATTTGCTTTGATTCAGCTGTTCAGTATCATCATCCTTATGTCCCATGTTGCTTGGCAGATCTTTGTTCTTTTCCTTGTTGTCCTCGGTATATCCTTCTGGTATCAGGCAAGTACAATGACAAGTGTAACTTGCATCTACATGTAGAATGTTCCTTTTATTTTATTTCTTCTTGATGTTACAAATTCTAAACTAGCTAAATTATCTACAGACCTATTATATTACGACTGCTAGGGAGCTAGCCAGGATGGTTGGGATTCGAAAGGCTCCTATTTTGCATCATTTCTCGGAATCTATAGCAGGGGCAGCAACAATCCGTTGTTTCAGCCAGGAAGACAGGTTCATGGAGAAAAACCTGAACTTAATCGATGATTACTCTCGTGTAGCTTTCCATAACTCTGGCACAATGGAGTGGCTGTGTGTTCGAATCAATTTTCTTTTCAACTTCGTTTTCTTCTTAGTTTTGATCATCCTGGTGAGCTTGCCTCGGTCTGCCATTGACCCCAGTAAGCTCTCATCCCAAGTTTTTTCAGTTCGAATCTATAATGTCGAGTTTGCAACTAACTAGCATGTTGATCTGGTATCAGGCATGGCAGGATTGGCAGCTACATATGGCTTGAACTTAAACGTACTGCAGGCATGGGTAATATGGAACTTATGCAACGTTGAGAATAAAATGATATCAGTCGAAAGAATTCTCCAATTCTCAAACATACCTAGTGAAGCTCCCTTGGTGATCGAGGATTGCAGACCGAAGCCCGACTGGCCAACACAAGGAAGAATCGAACTCGAAAACCTTCAGGTGCAATACAAGCCTACACTTCCTATGGTTCTTAAGGGTATAACTTGCACTTTCCCTGGTGAAAAGAAAATCGGAGTTGTTGGCAGAACAGGAAGTGGGAAATCCACTCTGATTCAGGCTCTCTTCAGGGTGGTAGAGCCCTGCGGAGGACAGATTATGATCGATGGAGTAGATATTTCGACCATCGGTCTGCAGGATTTGAGGTCCAGATTGGGAATAATCCCACAAGATCCAACATTGTTTCAAGGCACCATAAGGACCAATCTGGATCCATTGCAACAACACACAGATCATGAAATCTGGGAGGTAAATGTTAAAAATCTGGTTTCCCTGAAACTATTTCTATTAAACTATCCAGTTTTTCTGAAATAAGCTCATGACAGGTCCTCAACAAATGCCGTCTTGTAGACATGGTGCGACGGGATCATCGACTTCTTGACGCTCCAGGTTTAAAATTTTAATAATTTCAGTGTATATATATATATTCTACTTGGTATAATTTCCAGTGTAATTGATACTGAAATGTGGTGAACTGTCAGTGGCTGAAGACGGAGAGAATTGGAGTGTTGGAGAAAGGCAGCTTGTTTGCCTGGCAAGGGTGCTCCTAAAGAAAAGGAGAATTTTAGTGTTGGATGAGGCTACAGCTTCCATTGATACAGCCACAGACAATGTAATTCAGGAGACAATAAGGAATGAGACAAGCGGGTGTACGGTCCTCACCGTGGCACATCGAATACCAACCGTTATCGACAATGATTTGGTTCTGGTTCTTGATAAAGGTAAGTCCACAGTCTCCCTTCTGCATATCATCAAGGCATAAAGAAAATTCTGAAACATAGTTAAATGCTAATAAGAATTGCAGAAGGCAATTTTAACTGATTGTGACAAATATGCCGTTCAATTCCAGGACAAATAGTGGAATACGATACGCCGGATATATTACTCGAGGACAATTCTTCTTCATTCTCGAAGTTGGTGGCCGAGTTCTTGAGATCATCCAAGAGCAACCACCATAAGAATCCGGCTTGATGGATGGACAGATATGATATATGAACTGCCTAACATGTGAAAAGCATTCAATTGATGGAGAGTATGGACCAAAATGAAAGCTTTTAGAACTTGCATGGAAGATTTCTTTGGATGAATCCTGAAGATCAACTTTCTGGGGAAGATTTAGTCAGTAGGTTTGAGAAAATATGAAGAAAAAGCTTGAGTATTCATCATCCTGGAGGAACATTGACACTTGAACCTTACAAACCACCTGCTGATCCTTAACAATTTCTAGCGGTTACATGCTCCACCGCCATTAACAAAGGAATAGTTGTACATTTTTAACTTACAAGGCCCAGTTATCTTCATTAACAAGCCTCAGGAAATACATGCCCTATTTAATGAAAGCTCTCACATTATATTCATTTAAGGGAAAGAACGATAATTAATCAATTTACTCAAATTTTAGGACCCTTCCCAGAGAAAGAGCCCTCCAAAAATAGGCGTATGCCACGTTCTGCAGCGAGCACACAGTATTCTTTAGTAAAAGTCAAAAGAATAGTTCGCTATGGCTGCGTGATTAGCCGGATTGGAGTTGCAGTTGTTTATACTGGTTCTATAGCTCGCGGCGCTGTGTATTGCCTATGTGGGATAGATGAAACTAAGAAAATATCAGAGATGAAACTAAGATAATGTCACAAAACAATTATGTAATCGTAACATTTTATTAAAAAGCGTCATCATTAGAACGCTCTTAGAAGCAAAATCAATATATTTTTTACAGTATGAGACCTCCAGATTTTGGAGCCCTATGACGTATCACATGTTACACTTGCTGATGGATGGACTGAGTTAAATTTACTCACCGACAGTCTAATTTATTCTATTTATGACCACACCAATCACCTTATAAATAAGACAAAAAGAAAGATTTGATCTGATACTTCATGTAATCAGCAAATAATAGTAAAAAAAATACCCACGTCCACTGTTCATATTCCCAAATCCAAAAACAAAATTAATATTTTCAATAAAACAGAACTCAAGTAGAAATTGCCATAGTAACTAATTCAAACAGAAATGATCCTAATATTCCTATTAAGTAAACCTTCAAGCACTCTGAATCCACATTCCAACCAGACATTAGTAGGAAAACAAAGGCATGTAAATCAAAAGCATTAAACTTGAATTTTAGGACCCTATCTAATGAAAGAGCCCTCCAAAAATAGGCTTATGCCACTTTCTGCAGTGAGCACATGGTATTCTTTAGTAAAAGGCAAAAGAATAATTCGCTCTGTGCTCAATGTGTAGCTGCATGATTTGATAAGTTGGAACTATAATTATTTATACTTGTTATAAAGCTCATGGCGTCTCTACTGTCATTGTGGGATTATTGCTCTAAACCTTTTTTGCTGGTAACTAAGAAAAAGATGCAGCAACTTCAATAAACCATGAAAAAGGGACCAATAAACAAATTTTTTAGCAGTTTTTAAATTTGATAGATGTAAAACTAGAGATGCATCCAGTACAGTTTTTTGTTTTTCTTCTAGCAGCTTGCATCGATCTCTAGCAGTATGACGAAGTTTTTCACTTAAAAATTGGTTTCTAGCTGCTGAAAGCATACAAGCTACAGCAAATCCATGTCTGATATTGGCACTAGCCTCTTTGATCTCGATTGGAATATCATGAAGCCTAGTGAAGATTGTTTGACTGGCAGGGGTGCTCCTAAAGAAAAGGAGAATTTTAGTGTTGGACGAAGGGACAGCTTCCATTGATACAGTCACAGACAATGTAATTCAGGAGACAATAAGGAATGAGACAAGCGGGTGTACGGTCATCACCGTGGCACATCGGATACCGACCACTATCGAAAATGATTTGGTTCTGGTTCTTGATAAAGATAAGTCCACAGGCTCTCCCTTCTGCATATTATCAAGGCATAAAGAAAACTTTGAACATAGTTAATTGCCAAAGGCAAAATTAACTGATTGCGACAAATATGCTGTCTACTGCCAGGGAAAATAATGGAATATGATACACCAAATATATTACTCGAGGACAATTCTTCTTCGTTCTAGAAATTGGAGGCCGAGTTCTTGCGATCGTCCAAGAGCAAACACTATAAGAATCCGGCTTGATGGATAGACAGAAATGATACATGGACTGCATAACATGTGAAAAGCATTCAATTGATGGAGTATGGACCAAGACGAAAGCTTTTGGAACTTGCATGAAGATTTCTTTGGATGAATCCTGAAGATCAACTTTCTGGGGAAGATTTAGTCAGTAGGTTTGACAAAATATGAAGAAAAAGATTGGGTATTCATCATCCAGGAGAAATATTACAAGTAGCAACTTACAAACCACCTGCTAATCCTTAACAATTTACTTCGGTTACATGCTACACCGCCTAGGGGTGTGGCTGAGGGGCGTAGAGTCCGCGACGGAGCACAACCTCAAAAAAGAGGATCCCGAAATAGATTATATCTATCAGTTGTTACCATTAAGAAGTAGAAAAATAGGTATAGAGAAGTGGTTAGATCATTGGACTCATGACTTTGTTGATCCTAAGTTCGAATCTCATTAACAAGCAAAATTATTTTTGGGAAAAACAATACAAATGTGTCTGCTCAATGTAATAAGTTCGAGATCTAAAGGCCTCTTTACAAGAATTTGCACAGGACCTCCAACAACCTAGCCACGGCCCTAACACCGCCATTAACAAAGCAATAGTTGTACATTTTTAACTTGAGAAAATAACATCAGTGATCGAAAATTCCTTATAATATACGATTTTGACCAACTTTTTTTCGATTTGCCAAAATGACTAACAAAATCGCAATGCGATCTCTAAATCACAACGCGATCTCCAGTATCGCAAATTAGTTTCCAGATTCGCAACGCGATTTTGACTATCGCAACGTGATTCTGACTATCGCAACGCGATAATACAAAATCGCAATGCAATTTTCAAAGCGCCATTAGTATCACAACGCGTATTTTATTTTCAAATTCCAAACACGAATATTAATACATCCCGTAATCGCAACTCTTAACTTAAAACCCTAAATTACAACTCAGTCACATCTCCATTCTCACTCTCTACGGTGACATTCGTCCCCATCTCCGACGAAATCCGTCTATCTCCATCTCTCAGAGCCACCCTCACAATCATTCACGATCAGAAATGGAAAATCAACCAAATCAACCACCAATGGTTAGTTTTTTTAATTATTTTTATTTTGAAATTTTTGCATTATTATTAGGCTTTTCATATTGAAATTGATGATAAGTTTACTGGTAATTTCAATAATAGATTAACCATTTCACGTAGATTGCTTATTAAATTCATTCGATTACTGCCAATACTGCTAAACTGTTTAGTCTTTAACCCTGTAAAGTTAGTATTTGTCTTTGTTTTGTCTTTTGGTTGAAGTAATGCAATTCATTCAAGTTTCAATTTTAGACAATGACTATTTGAAACCGAGGATCGCAACGCGAAATGAAAATCGCAACGATAGTCAAATTCGCGTTGCGATAGTGATTTTCGTGTTGCGATTTTCATTTCGCGTTGCGATAGTCAAATTCGCGTTGCGATAGTCATTTTCGTGTTGCGATTTTAACTTTCAGAAACTATTATTCTTCTGCAAATTGAAACTTGAATGAATTGCATTACTTCAACCAAAAAACAAAGACAAATACGAAACTCACAGTGTTGCAAATTTAAGTTTGAAGAATAAACTACTACTACTCTTTATGTTTATTATTGTTTTTGGTATATCTTTACAGTGTAGTTTTTAATCTAACTTGGTATGTTTATTATTTTTGTAGAACTTTTTTTCGACTCAATTGACCTTAAGGAATAAAATAAGCCTAGTCACTATAATTGCGTCGAAGCTTTCACCTGTACAAAGAACATTGTTTGAGGATACTTGCTTCGGACCATGGCTGAAAGTACAACATCCGGGTGGAGATGCTATGTTGACCCATTTGTGGCTTTAGACCATGACTAGCGATCTACCCGAGAGTATAAAATGTGGTAATGAAGAGATATGGTTTCATTTTCCACCGGCGTATACGTGTTTTGGGCGTGAGGAGTTTTGCTTAATCACTGGTCTACGCTTCAGACACGATGATGTAGGTCGATACACTAGTCATATTACCCGCCCATCATGGTTATCCCGGGTTTTTCCTGAGCTGTCAATGGAGAAGCCGAATTTACACGTCGACGACTTGACGAGATTATTGAATAAGAAAGATGGTTTTACTCGGATGGATGACGTCGATGTTGTCCGAGTATGCCTTTTAGTACTTTTGCATGCCGCCTTTTTAGGCAGAGAGGCTAGACAACCTATTCCTAAGGACATAATATTATTAGTAGATGACCTAACTGCATGGAACCTGCTTCCGTGGGGTTCGTATCTATGGAAAGCTACATGGAATAAGTTGTCGTCTGCCTTTGATGACCGCAAAAGTTTGCATGACGATGGTTCCAAATACACTTTGTCAGACTTTATTTGGGCCTTTAAGGTAAGAATTTCTATATAATGTTTCCAAAATTATAATTAATTATTTAACAATTACTAATGTTTGTGTATTATATTGTTTTTGTAGATTTGGATATTTGAGGCTTTTGACATGCAGACATATGCATTAAAAACTTCAAATGATATTCCTAGAGCTATTTCCTGGAAGAGGAAATGGCGACTGTTGATTTGGGAAGAGTTACTACGGTATACGACAATAAATGATGTAAGTTATCACAAATACTACCATATATATAAACAAGTTATTACTAGTACAGATTTAACTTTGTTTGAGCTTTTATATTGTTAGGAGGCCAACACTCCATTACAGAGGCTGACACCCACGAAGGTTGAGCTTGCCACTGATTGGTGGCAAGCTAGTAAGCATTTTTTTCATGGCACGGATGATGAGCAACCTCCACTTCGAGAGCCATCACCTCACCCAGAGCCATCACCTGATCGACCATACTATATACCTCTACAACGAGAGTCATCACCTATTCTGTCACATCATCGAGCCTCTTCTCCACCATCACCTCATGATAGGCGACCGGCAAAGATGACACGACATTTATCTCCCTGTTCTCCACCTCAACGGGATGAGTTAGGGGAGTTACGTGATGAGGTCAATGCCTTGCGTGAGGAGGTCGGTACTTTACGCGATGACTATGGTGCATGTCGTGACGAGGTATCTACTTTACGTGGTGAGGTAGGGGCTCTACGTGAGATGGTAGCATCGTTGCAGAATGAGGTTCATACTCTACGTAACGAGGTAAGTTTAAGATTTTTCATATTTAACTTGATTTACTCGTAATTTCACTTAGATTAACCATTTCACTTAGATTACTTAGTAAATTCATTCGATTGCTGCCAATACTACTAAATAGTTCTAAAATAACCCTGTGAAGTTAGTATTTGTCTTTGTTTTGTCTTTTGGTTGAAGTAATGCAATCCATTCAAGTTTTAATTTACAGAAGAAGAATAGTCGCAACACGAAACTTAAATCGCAATGCGAAAATGACTATCGCAACGAGATAATCGCAATGCGAAATAAAAATCGCAACGAGAAAATCACAATGCGAAAATGACTATCGCACGCGAATTTAGTTTCGCGTTGCGATTTTGGTTTCGCGTGCGATTTTTATTTCGCATTGCGATTATCCCGTTGCGATAGTCAAATTTTGCGATAGTCATTTCCGCGTTGCGATAGTCATTTTCACGTTGTGATTTTAAGTTTCAGAAACTATTCTTCTTCTGCAAATTGAAACTTGAATGGATTGGATTACTTCAACCAAAAGACAAAGACAAATACTAACTTCACAGTGTTGCAAATTTAAGTTTCAAGAATAAACTACTACTCTTTATATTGTTCTTTTAAATGTTTATAAGTGTTTACTTCCGGAATGTTATCTGATTCATTTTGTGAACTATGATAGAATAATGACTTGGGTGAATACCGTGCAAGTTTGAAACATATTTGTCTTTGTTTTCACTGTTTAATATCATGTTTGTTTATTTACTTATTTATGTATTAATAATTATTTTTAGCGGCCCGATAAGGTAGATGTTTTACGTCGGGTTTTTCTTGCACGACGGGGTTCACGCATCAGACGGCGTGCACGTGCCATTACGTCTCCGTTCACCCCAATAGTGCGAAGACTCCGTGAGAAGAAGCCCGACTCACCTGTTATCATTCAAGAGGCTTCTCATATCGTTCAAGAGGCCTTTATCATCCCTCAAGAGTCCACTCCCACCGTTCAAGAGGCCCCTGTCATCGTTGAAGAGGT